GTTCCATTGATCTGAGTGTCTGTTCTTATGCCAGTACCATACTGTCTTGATGATTACAGCTTTGTAATACAGCTTGAAGTCTGGGATTGTGATGCCTCCTGCTTTGGTTTTCTTTTTCAAGAGTGCTTTGGCTATTCGGGGTCTTTTCTGGTTCCATACAAATTTTAGGATTGTTTTTTCTAGCTCTGTGAAGAATGCTGGTATAATTTTGATAGGGATTGCATTGAATATGTAGATTGCTTTGGGTAGTATCGACATTTAAACAATATTTATTCTTCCTATCCAGGAGCATGGAATCTTTTTCTATTTTTTTGTGTCTTCTTCATTCAATTTCTTTCATAAGCTTTCTTTGGTTTTCAGTGTATAGATTTTTCACCTCTTTGGTTAGATTTATTCTTAGGTATTTTATGGTTTTTGGTCTCTGAAGGATTTTAATTAAGAGCAAAGCCACAGTGAGGCATACTGTTTAGAAAGGTCATAAGGTCATCAGGGCTATAGGGGCACCTGGGTGGCTCAGTCAGTTGGGCATCCGGTTCTTTGTTTTGGCTTGGGTCATGGTCTTGCAGTTTGTGGGTTCAAGCCCCAGTTTGGGCTCTGGGCTCATGGCTCAGAACCTGCTTGGGATTCTCTCTCCCTCTCTTCCCCTCCTACAGTCTGTCTGTCTGTCTGTCTGTCTCTCTCAAAATAAATAAATAAAAAGAAAGAAAGAAAGAAAGAAAGAAAGAAAGAAAGAAAGAAAGATCATCAGTGGTATAAAGGATGATGGAAATGGGCCACATCAGAGGCAGGGGTATGGTTAGGGGCTATGGAACAGTTCTAACAAAAGCAGATAGATAGATGTCCAGAAAGGGGAATTTACAGAGACAGAAAGTAAATCAGTGGTTGCCTGGGGCTGGAGGTGAGAGCAGAGCAGGACTGTAAATGGACATGAGGGATCTTTTTGGAATGATGGAAATGTCGTAAAATTGCGTGTGGTGATGGTTACATAGCTCTGCAAATTTTCTAAAAATCACTGAATTGTACATTTAAAATGAATGAATTTTATAGTATGTAAATTATACCTCAGTAAAGCTTCTTTAAAAAAGAGAGAGAAAAATAAGGGGCTCTCTTCTAGAAGAGCTGTAGCACTGAGAGAAGACAGATGTGTGAAATGTTGATAAAGAAGAAGAGGTTGTAAAGTGAGACATTGATTTGATCTCATACGAGATAGGACGGTCACCTATCTGATCAGCCAGGTGTCCTAACTGTGCTTCTGCATCTTTGTGAGAAAACTTCAACCCTACCTTCTACTTGGTAGGTTTCACAGCATAATGGATCTGCCCTTAATTGGAAGCACAGAATGTCTGCCTCTGGACCCTTATCAGAAACCATATCTGTTGGCTCTCTGCCACCTTGTTCTTTGTAAACATTTGGTTTTAAGACATAATATTTATGAAGCATCTGTGATCCATTTACTTCTCTAGGTACTGTTATTCAGCAAATGGGTAAATTTTTGTTTTATTAGAGAGAGAGAGAGAGAGTGCATGCAAGCAGGGGAGAGGGGCAGAGGGAGATAGAGAGAGAGAGAGAGAGAGAGAGAGAGAGAGAG